TTTTCTGTTGGAGGGTCTGCTACCTGCTACCGTATTGCTCTACCAAAAATGTACCACATGGCATCAAACTAACCTTGCATTTATTAAATTTCAGGTATTTTATTGCTAAAAACCTTGAAAAACATTCACTCTTACATTCTTACTGTGAGCAGGGTTGCCTCTCCACAGAACTGACCTGTAGCTGGTAGCGTCACCTGCTTGTAGAATGAAAGGTGTGAATGCATACTGACCCTCCACTGTAAAATGTATAGTGCATCTTTAATATGGAAGAACTACGGCAGAGGAATAGTATAGAATAGATAGTAGACACCATAGCCTAAAACCTAGAACTAAGCTACAAAATAAACCTGCACAAAGTAAAAGTTTCGGTTATGTCTTAGCAAGAACAGTGAATAGTCATTGGATTTAGTCTTTGTTTAATTGTATTAGCTGTATTTGACTAATGACATTAATTGATGACTTGGGATTAGGGGGCAGTGGCTAAGATAAGGAAGAAAGGTTGAAAGACCCAAACCAAATCCACCAGGTGCCCATTCCACGAGTGAGCAGCTGATAATGAGAAGAAAGAGTTTTTTTGTGTGGACTTGGGTTGTTCTGACCTCAAATAACCCATATCTGGTGCACTGATAAAATGTGACTTTTTCATCTTAGTCATGGAAAGACCAGAAATATGGATGGAGGTAACTAAAATGTTTTGGCAATATCTTTTCAACAATAAACAGGAGTTTGAAATATATGTTAAAATAGTGTATTTGTATGCTTTTTCTGAATCTTTAACTTTGCCGGGTTGCACAATTTCCATTATTGTTTAAAATAGACAAACACAGAAAAATCATGGGACAACGAAGCGCTGGATATGCATTTTGTAAAGTATATTTTTTTTGTTCTTGTGTCCCTCGGCAAGACATTTTCTGCCATAGCCGAAAAGGGAGGGCATAAAGAAATGTTTACCAAGATAACAGTAATAGTTGTAGAAGTCTATTGTCTTGCCTATAATAGATATTCATTCTTAATTTAATACTTATAAAAATATTGTTCCCATTGCCAACTGAAGCAGTAGATATAAAAGAGGTACTTCCTGGTCCCACGTGTTTTGTTTTCATGCACACTTAAAGATTTCATGAGGTTTTTAGATGTGCATTGGGCATGACCGCTACTGAACATGTCCTAGCCTGCTGAATATGGATGACTATTATGGCCATCTTAAGTGTTTTTATTTCTCTCACATAAAAAGTTAAGTGATAGGATACATTTGAAGTCACAATTAGCAAATCACGACCTGCCTGACAAAACAAAAGCTTTACTACTATAATTGCTGTGATATACAAAAACATAATTCAGTTCATTCAGTGTTTATTTATGTTGAAGTTTAATATAAAAAACAAATAGAAAAAAGCTGTAATATGTATTTTTGAAACATTCAGTCTCTCTGTAATAGCTTGTGAAAGAGCTAACTAGCATTACTCATTCAAGTTATTGGGTGTGAGGCTTTACTGAAGCCACAGCTGTCTTGGGTCAGAGTGGTTGGAGCTGGACTCGAACCACGTACCAACTAGCTCTCACACCAATAAATGTTGGTCACTCTGAAGGACAGCAAAGGATTATGGTCTATGAAGTTCCCTCAACTTGTATGTGTCAACAACAATGATTTAAGAGCAAGTCAATATATTGCATAGGTTCATTATTTTATGGACATTTAATACTGCTAAATTATTATCAATATTATTCTAAATTTGTCCTGTTATGGTCCTGATTTGAACCTAATAAAGTCCTGATCTAGACTTGGTTTGGTCCTGTTTTAGTCCTGGTGTAGTCCAGGTTTAATTTGAATGCTAGGAATGCATTAGGAAAGTGAGGGATAAGTTTCTGCAAAATGTAGTGTAGCTCAGATTGTATTTTTATTTTATTTTTTAAGACAAGTTGACATTATCACTCAAATAAAGACAATTAAATAAGGTCTTTTTGGATAAGGACATGTAGCTGCACTAATCTGAGCCGAAGCCTGTGGGAAATAGGTTGTGTGTGAATTAAAGGGTCAGTGATAGTCCAGGGAACAATAAGCACCAGATGGCCAGTCGCTCCACCTGCCTCCAGCGCCTTTGTTTGCCACCAAATGCAGCGGTTCTGACTTATGCCTTTTAAGTCCACACAGTTTCATAAAGAAGAATAAAACTACTCTGAATATCCATGGTGTAATCAGAAAGTAAAATTGGCATAAGATTGACAAGAGACTTTTGGTAGCCCTCCTTACATCCAGCTGTAGTAGTAGCAAGCAGGGATCCAACGATATTTAATAATATCAAATAATATTGAATCGTTCAATATTATGCATTCATATGTACACATTCATACACATTCGCTCAATATGCTCGTGTCCCTCCACGCGTTGCAGAAACTAAAAAGCTCCATAGAGGCTTACTGCTGGGTTGGGTTATCTTTCTCACTTATCATTTTACGCTGACCCAGGAATGACAAAAATATGAACTTTTAAATGCTCTAAATCCGCTTTTAGCTTTACACGTTATTAATCAAATGCACTCATAATTCACACGTGAATCTTTTTTCAGACACTATCTCATGAGTTTGACATTTGTAAGTAATATAACTGTTTGAGTGTGAGAAGATGGGAGAGCACTGTATCTGTTCAGAGTAGGGGAGGGTGAGGAGGAGCTACTGTCTGCGGCTGCTGGAGATGAGGAAGAGTGGTGCAGATACACATTATAAAAATGAAAAGTCTGATGGAGTGGATTTCTCCTAGCAGTCTAGCATAAGAGCATTACAAATACATTTCTTCTTAGAAAACAATTGTTACTTATTATAAATTCAGAGCTGTAAATTAATGAACCAAATGAACTTAAGCACATCACATATAAACTCCTTTACAGTAGTTGTACTACTTGTCATTTTTTTATGTTTTTGATGAGGAAACAACATTGTAACATAGATCAGAAAATAGCATAATATAGGCCCTATATAGGCACTATGATTGCAAAGTAAAATTTGACATTGTGACAATGCCTGAGACTTCTTATAGTATTCATACATGCAATAATAATAGTAGCAATAGTCCAAACAGTTTCATTAAGAATATCCAGGTTATGTTTGAGTCTCTGTCTATTTACAGTTTAGATTATGACAGCCCCTAGTATGCATACTTCTGGTAGTAGTCATAACTTGCTGTGGTCATGTAGTTGTTGATGTAATAATAGTAGTTGAAGGGAAGTAGTTGTTGTATGTGGCTATGCACTGGTGATTAAAGGATCAGACTTTATTAAGTAACTTCAGTATAATCTCTCCAGCATAATCTGCACATTAAAGATGCATAATATAAAAAAATTGCTAAAATGTGTTAAGGTTAAAATTATATATATATATATATATATATATATATATATATATATATATATATATATATATATATATATATATATATATATATATATATATATATATATATATATATATATATATATATTTATATTTTTTTTTTTTTTTTTTTTTAGCTTTTTATATACTAAAGGCATTGCATATACATGGAAAAATACTTTAGCCAACTTTTTCAACCATTTCATTTGCAGGTAAATTTTTGCATTTTAAAATGAATGTTGAATTCCGGTGCGAATGAACCATGACAACTTTATAGACCTTGCACTATTTTATATTCTAGAAATCCTTGCGTTTTTGAGTTATGTTCTCTGAAATTATTTTCCCATCTATTTTTCTAAAATATCTCGATAGTTTCACTTCTGTTTTTTTATTTTAGTTTTCAAACCACACATTTCAAACAACTTCCTTTTCACACGCTGGAGTCTACTGCATGTGTCAGACTTCGCTGGGCTCATATTTGGAGAAGCCCCACCCAGAGCAGAGTCCAGCTGTGAGTGACATGTGAACGCTGGTCCAGCATTTTTAAATATTAGAGAGGGGACACAGAGAGACAGTGAGGGCAGCTATGATTAAGGATTAGACTATACAGTTGAAAGGACAGTACTACTTATACCTTTAGGGTCCCTATAGAAGATGATGCATACAATATGTACTGATACCAAAACTGGCAATGGCCTTCTAATTTATGTTTTAAAAATCTGCTACAGTTGCTTTATGCATTAACTACATACCTATGTCCTACCTGCAGTTTTCTCTTTTGACACTTTTGGTACTACTCCTACTACTGCTCCTGTTACAACAACAACTACTACTGCTACTACAACTACTAATAGTACTACTACCACAACTACCACTACAACTCCTGCTATTACTAGTACATAGGAGACCACACACTGAAACTCTTTAGTGAAACTGGTGGTGACATTGAAAGCAGCTCTGTATAATGGTCTTCTGTATTCAAACTTACACAATGAAAAAGCTCCTTCGGGGATCAATACGACCGCACCTGACTCATGTATTATTCTCATAAAGCTCGTGTATCCACTTTGCTACATGTGGTGTGCTACAGTTCGACTTTGGGTCAGCTTTGTAACAAGGATGACTCAATAATAAAATGTTAGCGATGAATGAATATTACTTAAATAGAGCTAGCACTTGTAAAAATAATACTTAATATATAGTCTCTTAAAACATATTTATGGACATAGCTAACCCGCTGGCCACTACATTACAAATAGGAAGTGAGTACGGTGTGCTTCTGGCTCTATTGACTCTGGTTCCAGTTCACTTTGCATTGAAAAAAACGTTGTCCCTCTCTCTGTAACTGCTGCTATCAAACTCGTCATTTTGGTCTTAAAATATTAGTATTAACTACTTGATCCTGGGGTTTTTATTTCACAGTTTTATCTGTAAATCCTATTCCTCATATGGAACTTGCTCCAAATTCACACCTATAACTGCAGGCCTTAGTGAGCTTCATTTGACTGGAACCGACCACTTTATACCATCTATGGTCTGAACTCAGAGTCTGGTTATTTGAGCCAGTGCGTACAGTCTGCCACATGCTGTAGACTCTAACCTCGTCACTAACCCTGCCCTTTGGTGTATTTCAGGCACCATTCGTCCAGTGAGGAGGAGCTTTTATGACCCTTCCTCGGCCCCAGGGCAGGGCTGGCAGTGGGAGTGGGAGAATGACGCAGGATCGTGGACGCCGTACGACATGGAGGTGGCTATTGCCATAGAGACTGCCCACAGCCGCCAGCAGCCCTGCCTTGACCTCACGCCCCTCGGCTTCTGCTACCTCATTGACTACCAGAACATGACACAGGTGAGAGATGGAACAGGGCTGTATAATATGAGTTTATGGTGTTAAAAGTGTTTGAGGTCTAGGTATGTTTAAAGGCAAAATTGAGATTTATGCCATGTTATAAACATACCTCATCAAAAACATACCTGGAATTGTGTTTCATTCACACATGTTTGAGTAATCCTTTATTTAAAGTCTGCATAAATCTCTAAACCTCAGAATGCTCTATTTTACCTTGTGATGTCATGAAGTGGTAGTTTTCAAGTTAACGGCTCCTTTTACATTTTGTTCAGTAGAGATTGGTAGTTCCAGGGCTGAAATTATCCAAATGATTCTAGTAAAGGTGTATGGCGTTTAAAAACACAATGGAGCCCTTCCTACATTATCACAGGACATAAAAAGGTGGAACAGAGTTTTCTGTTTTAGAGAAGAACCTAACCTAGAACCTAAAGAGCCTAAATATGCACCACTCTAGGTATGTTTTTGATGAGGAGACAATATTTGAACAGATCAGACAATAGTATAATATAGGCCCATTAAAAGAAGTACTGTGTGCTGCAATGTTTACACCTAATGTTTAATACACTCAATGACTACACTACACTTCACTAACTCCAACATTTATTTAAACATTTCAGAGATTTTGGCAGCACATTCTGAAACAAGTAAAATGCCTTTAGTGACAAAGTTTTACTTAGCGTCTGTATGCTTTTGGCAGGTCAACAGACAGAGTCAAAGGTGCCGGAGGATCCAGAGAAGAGCCGACTTGGCCTACCCTCTGGTGTCAGGGCCCCTGCCCAAAAGCGGGGGAGGAGCTGGAGGAGGCCTGACAGGAGCCCTGCTGGGCGTGGGGGTCTCTGGGGCAAGTATGGGGGGCGGAAGCTCGGTCTACCCCAATGGGGGAGGGCCACCCTCGGGCCTGGGGCAGCCCTGCTCCTGTCAGCAGTGCATGCTGGTGCTGAGTGTGAAGACCAACACAGGGGGCATGGGGGTACAGACTCTGGGCCGCCGCTCGCTCACCATGCAACGCCCCAAAAACACAGTGCCCCCTACAGGCCGCTCCTTGAGCCCGTCTAAATCTGCCACTTTGGGCCGAGGGCAGATGCAGACACAGGGGTACTACCAGACCCTCCCACATGGTTTAGCTATCTCTCGAAATACAGCGTCCCCCAGGACCAATGCCCAGCTGTTTGCCCAGTCTCTGGCTGTGCTCACCGCAGGCACGTCCTCTCTGGGCATCTCGTCTTCCAATAGGCCACCTCCGCCATCGCTCCCGCCCCCTCAGCCCCCGATCGCCCATCAGAACCCTCCATCTCTTCCGGCCAAACTCTCCTCATCTTCAGCCAATGACGTTGTGCCAACCGCCACATTGATCACTCCCGCCAGCAGCGTGACCACGCCCCCCTCGCCTGTGCCATCGCCGTCCCCCGTTGTCATGAAGCCACAGCGAACGCCATCGTCTGCGACAACAGCCTGCCACGCCCCTTTGCCACAAAGGTCCAGCTTAGCTGGACTCAGCCGCCCGGCGCTGCAGAGGATCGCCATGGCCCAGTCCAGAGCACTCATCGCCTCAGGGTGAGTCCACAATGAGTCTACACTGTCTGTTCTGATGATACAGGTTTATAGTACACACTACCTCAAACACACTGTACAAGACATTTGTAGAGTGTCCTTCACTTTTGTGAATCAGCTGCAGATTGTCGTGTTAGTCACGTAGATTTTGTTTCTGTTTTGTGGCTTTGTCGGATTGTTGTTGCATTTTATGCAATTCAAGGCAATCAAGAGTTTATTTGTGTTTTGGCCAAACACACAAACTTGGTTTTAAGCCTTGGTCAGTCCTTCAGAGGGAATTCTTCCAACTGATTATTTAAATTCTTCAAAAAAATCTTGCAATAACAATTACATCAGCTATTGGTGATTACTTTGTAAAAAGAAACCAGCATGGGCCCGAGGGAAATGAAAAACAAGAAAGTATTTTTCATCTTGATGTACCACAAATTGGCTGGATTTACAAGTTGTCTGAGTTGGAGTTTTAAATGTAGCGTATAATCTTTTTGGATCTGACTTAACGCTTCACTTTGGTTTCACCGTTGTCAGTTGTCAACAAACCATAATTTCACAGTTTGCACTCAATTACTGAAGCTCGTCTTCTCTGTGTAATTCCCATATTTTCCCAATTCACCCACATTCATTAAATACAAGTCTGTACAGGCAGGAACTTTCTCTGACAAATAAGCACCAATCTGACAGTTACTTTACACACGTCCAGTGCCATGTACAAACAAGAAGAAACGCATTACGAGTCAAAGCTAGCTCAGACATGCACTGCACCAAAACACGTGCTATCAAAGCTAACTAAGAGCAGGTGTCATTTAGGACTTAAAGGGTAAAACTGCCAAACAATCACAACTTAACCGGATTGTTATTAGCTGTTATTACAAACACAGACTTTACTGACTTGCTATGCATCATTTGAAAGCTCAGAAATAATAATGCATCCTTTTGTAAGATCACTGCACAAAATACCAAAGTTTGAGCTAGCATTGTTAGCATTGTTCTTTTGTTAGACTGGGTTGTGATAGTGAATATTGACATCATGTACTGGTTTATTGTTGTTGGTAGTGGAAAGCAAATGCAGGGAGCTCATTTAGCTTTAGTTTTATAATTTAGTAGTTCAGAATCTGCATTATTATTCAGTCCACATCTCTAAATCTGAAAATGCTCTGTTTCACCTTATAATGTCATAAAGCGGTAGTTTTCAAGTTAACAGCTACTTTTTACCTTGGAGTGGAGACTGGCAATTCCAGGGCTGAAATGATCCAAATGATTTTAGTGAAGATCTAGGCATCTTACAAACACAATGGAGCATGTTATATATTACCACATGACATCACAAGGTGGAACAGCATGTTTTCAGTTTGAGAGAAGAACTCTGCCTAAATATGCAAGGTTTGAATGAACCAAAATGCAACTTCGGGTATGTTTTTGATGGTGAAATTCTATTCTATTTTTACTTAGATCAGAAGAAATAGTGTGATATCAGCCCTTTAATATTGATTAGTATCTAGCTTCAAGTTTTTTGCTATTTTAGTCTCTATTGCTGGGTTTCAGATCACATCACAACGTTGTTTTTGTCAATAATACTGAATACAAATGAGGGGGAGCTAAAGTTAGTACAGTAAACAAAAATGCAGTTCTTTGCTTTAATACAAGCGGTTAATCAGTCTCGTCACTCATAGAAATCCTCAAGTTCAGTTTGTGAATTTACCTTAAATATTTCATGGTGAAGTACAATGTATTCAATAGGGAACCCCCACCCCCCTACCCATCATATTCTTTCATCTGAAAACCACCAATTGAGGACATGCTATCTTGTACATAATTGCAGACTTTGCCATCTCAACTAAATTATTCCGTTAACATTGTTCTTTTGATTAATTGTTGAGCTCTTTTGTTACTTCTCTGCCGTTGACTCTCGCATGTTACGTACGCCGTGACTCACTAAGTTCAAAAGGGGCCTACGGGCTGTTAGGCAGTAAATGCTGATGATTACAAGTGGCAGAGCCGTTCTGTTCACACCTTGATTTCACCTGCAATTTTAGATAATTTCCTGTTTCTGGTGAAAGTATTTATTCATGAAGCTTGGATTGAGTGCATGGTACTTTTCCCCGATCTTTTATTCTCAATAATATGTAAATCACTCTTGTTAGACATCAGGTGATTTGCTATAGAAGCTTTGAAGGCCCGTATTCTGATAAATTAAAGTTTCTGAGCGGTTGTAATGTGTCCTGATCAAATAATCGTGCACTATGTAACTTTTCTAGTGGAGGGTCCGCTACTTGCTTGTCTCCATGGAAATTATATTGGAAACATGGAAACTTATATTAAACTTGTCAGTCTCCAAGTGTAATCACATTCTAAGCACAGCAATAATTTCTCAGTTGCCATATACCGGAACATTTCAGACAAAATAAAAAAAACTCTCCATGGAGACAAGCAGCATCCTCAAACAGAAAGATTACATAGTGAATTAAGTAATTCTTCACGAACCTTGTTCCTCACTTAGCTGATCTGATGGGAAATTATTGCTTTGCCTGGAATGTCCCACAGTATGGAATTAATGTGATTAATCTTGTATATATTCAATTACTGATGCTTCAATTGCCAAAATACCTTTTACAAACCTGCTGATCCCTGCTCCCCTGATCTGACTTGTACTTGGCCTGGTGGTATTGTGATGTACACCAATATAGTTCAACCAGAAAAGTTACATAGTGAATCTTTAACTTTATGTTCATGTTTTGCGGTGTAGAAACTCATGCCCTGTTTTTACTTTTAATTATGTACTTGAAGTTAATGAAAAACAAGTGGAGTGGATGAGTGGGAGGGTCTTACACAGAGAGCCAGCGCTGAATACACCTCATCACAAATGTCCCGGGCCCCTCTCCAATCTCTTTTGGATTCAACCTCTGAGCACATCTCTGGTTTATACTGCTTGACTTCAGAGCTCTTTATAAAGGGGAAAAACTTTATATTGCTGATTGAACTCATTGTTTTATTATGCATATTAGTTGAGAAGTGGATTGAAGGTTTTTACTTTTTTTACTCAATTATAGTGGTACCTAATATCTATAAACCAAAACTACATTTGATTAGTGCATTGTTTGTGCGCATTATGGAAAATGTTTTGGTGGAGGGAGACAAGCCACATGCTTGTCTCCAAGGAGATGTAATTTACCTACCTGGATGGTTCCATAGTATGGCATTAAACATATCTAGCTACAAGGTCAGAACAGTATATTTTGGACCGTAAGCCACCACAATCTTTGTTTTGAGCTCCCATGTGCTTCACTGATTAGTTCTGTCATTTGTTGACCTTTATAGAATATGGAAAGAGTTTGTTGGTCAGTATTGTGCTTGAGAGATAACATGACAGGTCCACTTTGTCATTTTTCTGGTTGAGGATCTGGTTTCTGCCTATCTTTGTGGAGATGTTATACTTTACCTACACTTTTCCAAAGTGGCATTAAACGTTAATATTTTACATTTATTCAGTCACCATCATATTTTATCACTTAGTGAACATTCCTCCAGAAAAGTTACACAGTGCACCTTTAAAGTCTGAACCCAAATCAATGCCCTTTCTGTCTGAGTGACCATTGGCCTTGTCCGTGTGTGAAGTGGCATATGTTTTGATCTAGCTGAGAGAGGTGTATTGTGGGCGACCCTTCTCTCCCTCTCTCTCTCTTTTGAGAGGCTGAAGCACCAGATGTAGCGAAACAGCCGTCCACTTGTTCTTGAGATTGATGAGTTCTGAAGTATATTGGATTAATCTGCTAATATCTCTTTTATGAAGCTGCATAAATAAAGCTTGGCCTTATGCAAATGTATTTAAGTGTTGATTGAAAATCTTCATTCTTATGTCAAAAAGGCCTATATTTTCAAAATGTATTCAAAGTATTTTTTTAAACAGAAGTTAAAGGCGCTGTACCTGATTTTTACGGTACTCAAAACAGTTTGCAGTGGTGCAGTTATTCTTCACTTACCCTACACACTTCTTAATTATTCAATGCAAAGTGCTTTTTACAACTTTCAGAGGCCAGAGCAGAGTTTTGCTGTAATGATTAAGCTAATGACAACTAGCACGCTAACTCTACACTTTCTGATTATCAGACAATTTAATGGATATAAATGCACGTAAATGCTTTATACGTAAATGAAGGCAGTACACAGTGGATTTATTTTGACCTCAAGTGCTGCACATACAATAGATCTGTACTGGGGCAAAGCATTTTTTGCTCAAAAGCGTGAAAAAAATCATACAGCATACACCATACAGGCCCTTTAAGAGAGAATCTAACTGTGCTCATTTACTTCTACAAACCTTGAACTTGGATACATTTTGTTCTAAGATCCCCGGTCTTTATTTTATCAAACGTGTGCTCAACTTGTTGCATTTTCAACTCAGCAACAGTTGTTATTATCCGGTTTAAATGTGATGCAAGGTCACTCGGTTTAGAGATGAAGATTTGAATTTTCAGCATGCCCTCTCCAAACATGCCCCCCGTGCCCCCTTCTCTTGCTCGGGCTGTCGCGTCTCAACTTTGGGCCCCTCCGAACTTCATTGTTGGTCTCCACGGTAACCTTTGTTAGGGTGCCCAAACCTGGTCCGCATTAGCAGTACAATGCAGAGCTGTGGCTGGGTTAGTTCTTCTCCTTCCCCCTCTCTCTTTCTATCCTCTCGTTGCAATCTTTACTGCAAAATAAGTTTAGAAATTCTAATATACATTGTTTTGCTTTTGGGCTATTACTGTATGGCTGTTATTTCAAGTGGTTAGAAAGCTCTTGTTAAATTGTAGCTTGCATGATCTTTTGGCATGTTAATTTGCTTGGCAAGGAATCTGATCTACAATTAAAAATCAGATGTCTAACACCATGAAATACTACTTTTTTCAACTTGCATAATTTTGTTGTATCTCCATTTTTGCAGAACCACTATTTTTATCCAAATAAGATGAACTGAGGTCTCATTTATAAAATGTTACCTGCAATTAGTACTAAAAGTTTACCAGTCA